CGAAAGAACGAAAGAACGAAAGAACGAAAGAACGAAAGAACGAAAGAACGAACATAAAAACGACAACAACAACGACAACAACAAAAAATGAATAAATGAATAAATAAAAATAAAAATGAAATAAAATGAAATAAAAAAAATTTAAAAAAAAGATAAATGATAGAAACGTGGCTTGTAAAGTTCATAACATATAGTGTCTCCCTTACAACGTGGAACCCATTGGAGTTCCATTAGCGTCTTAGTTGTCGTCTCCTCTATATCAAGCCGCTTATTTAGCAATTAGTTCTCGACGCCGAAGACCGAATGGGCTATTGACTCATAGGCCATTGAGGCGAGAGGACTTAATTGTTAAACTAAATTAACTAAATTGTTAAGACTTAAACAAATAGTCGGTCAAATATTTGTTTTCGAACAAGTCTTGAATTAAAGTTAAATTCAGTCTTTTGGCTTTCAAAGAAGGCACTTTTTGCTACTACACAGTAGCTCGTCCAATCAGAATGCAGCATTGATGATACACCGCCAGTTTGACATATGGATTTGACATATGATTAGTCCGCGAGGGAAATATATTTGTTGCCTTGTCGATTTCATTCGTAGTACATCGCACAGAGTATAGCTCATTTGCGATAACTAGTTTGGAAACTAGTTTATACATGCATATCATCTATTTCAGTACCTGTGAAAAACGCCTCAGTAAAATCGCCATCTTTAAACTTGTGCTGAGCGAACGGACCACTGTCGTTAAGATAGGCTCGCAGCTGAAATCTACAATATATTATATTATATTATACTGAAATAATAAGTAACACGTTATTATATTATATATTACTGAATTAATCAGCAACACGATGATAACAACGTTCTCGCTAGTATGACATATTTACTTAAATTCTTCCTTCCTTCCTTTCTTCCTTCCTTTCTTTCTTCCTTCCTTTCTCTGCATTATTTCAAACACCAAACCTTTTAACTGTGGTTCAGCTTTCTGGAGATTACATGCCACTACGTACCTGTATTTAGAACTAGGATTCAACGGTCCACTGCAAATCTCATTGCGCAAATTACAGCCCTTGTCATCGCCAACAGTAATCTGGAACATGCCGAATTTCGTAATAACGGGTGTGTTCGGCACGATCTTGGAAATGTAACGGCGTAAGTTCTGGTTTTTCTTTTGGAGATATCCAATGAGAAACCATGTCGTTGGTTTCAGCTTGGTGTAGTCCTCGACTGGGCATGGAAAATAGAAAAGAAAAAAAGTTTTAAATGACGTCTCACTTATTCTCAGGCGTTGGAGCCTTGGAATGCAGCTCGATCTGGGGGACAAAACAATAAGTTTTGCTATGTCCTCTAAATCGAGCTGCTTTGACGTCACATTCAAGGGGTCTAAACGAAGCCTTCTCGAAAGATGGGAGGGCTACTCACATAGATCTGAACTTGGCAAATACTCTTGAACAATGACTCCAAATTCTTTCACGTTGGTTAGGTCCAGATATTTCAGGTTAAACTGCACTGTTATCGTTTGTTGTGTAGTCTTGATTAGAATCAATGGAGTGCTGAAGGGTTGGAAAATCAAGACATTTATTTCTGCATTTTTGTCGGACCTCAAGGAAGGCGTGCCGTTGTCAATCACAGAAACTGACATGCGGAACAAACTGAGGGACTCTCGTTGGAGCATGCGCATTATCTTCATTATTCCAGTCCTAAAAAGTGAAATAAAGTGAAATCAGAATGATATCAAGACGTTCATCTTAAATGACTTGCAGGACAACAGAAATCTTTTACTCTGGGAATTGAATTGAATCTGATGTAAACAACCATCCCACGTGACGGTCGTCATTTGATTGCGCAAAATCTACGTAGCACCTCTTGGGAATGAGATTTTTTGTTTGAGTTTTTTTTCCATATTCATGTGTCTTCTCATGTGCAACCGTTAAACAAAGAAATGATACTCTAGGGAATGACACGGTCTGAAATCTTTAAAATCCCATTTCAGACCACGTGTATTCTCTTAGGATTAATGTACTTTGTTTGCGTTATACAACTATTTCGAAAAAGGTTGAATACTGCATACTGCATACTGAATAGTGTATTCCTAGACCGAAGTGCATTGTTGGTCATAGTGACGATGTCTAAATTAGGATTAATAATAATGATTTATTCTATTTTTAGTGTATTCCATCTGAAACAATATACTAACTACATGTAGAGAGTTAATTGCTGTATATTTACTTTTTATTTTAAATTAACGAGACCCACAATGCCCTTTGGTCTTGGAATGCACTATTCAGTATGCAGTATTCAGTATTCAACCTTTTTTTAAATAGCTGTATCCATATTTATGTGTCTTCTCATGTGCGACCATTAAACAAAGAAATGATACTCTAGGAAATGACACGTGGTTAAGAAAGCATTACACCCAAGACAAACGTCTGGTTTAGGCTCATATATGGCTATTTAAAAAATGCGCACTTACTTTGGCTCAATTTCAAAGAATCCTTTTTTGTCTTTGGCGTTGTCATGAAGAAAGTAAGTCAAGTCAGCATTTTGACCCGCGTCTTCGTCAGTAGCCGTGACTTGCACCACCCTTGAGAACAATTGCGGTTCTTTGTTGTATATGACGTTATATACTGGTTTATCGAAGACGGGTTTATGGTTATTAACGTCTTCTACGAGTATACGAACCAACACGTTGTCCACCGAAGAAGCCTTGCTTACATCTGAAATTAAAGAAAAAGGCATTAAAATTCATTTGGATTTTCAATTTGAGTTTTATCCATGACCCGATGTTTAGCTTGGCACTAACGTTTTCCCATTTCAGACCACGTGTCATTCTCTTCAGAATAAGATTCTTTGTTTGAGCTGTATCCATATTTATTTGCCTTCTCATGTGCAGCCGTTAAACAAAGAAATGATACTATAGGAAATTAATCATGGGGGATAATAAGTGAAGATGTTAGTCATGTCAGCTTTATTGACACAATAATAGACTGGAGAATGACGCGTCTTTCTTAGACACACATATAAACGAAGTAACAAACAGTAAAGGGAATGATTGCAGGTCGTGAAATGAGAAAAGATCACAAGAACCAACTTACCAATCGCTGCAACCAGAAACGTATAACGATCTTTTTTCTTATAATCCAGTTTCCGTATAAGTGTTATAGCACCAGTTACTGAATTTACCGCAAAATGCGAGTCAGCTTCTCCACCAGAAACCTGCGTTGCATAATACTTAATCCCACTATCCGGCCCCGAGTTCATTCGTGCTCGAACTCGGAGAATCTCAGTATGAACAGGGCAGCTTTCATTTACTTTAGCGAGGTAGACTGGCACTGTAAACTCCGGCCTTATTGTCGGGCCAAATGTGTGGCGTTTCACTTTGATGTAAATCGAAACTGGACTCGAACTTAAAGGTGGACGTCCCTTATCTTTGGCAAAGACAGTTAGATTGTAGAACTCAATAGTTCCCTGAGCCAAGGAGCGGCTTAATCTCAACGTTCCAGAATCAGCGTCCATGGAGAAGGTGTTGTTGATATTGCCGGACTGCATGATATACTCGACTTTCTTGTTCATGCCATTGTCAGCATCGTTGGCTGTAACTCGAAGGATGGAAGAACCTACTGTCATGTTCTCGTTGATGATATCTTGGTAGAATGAAAGGACAAACTTTGGACGGTTGTCGTTCAGGTCAATCACCTTGACTCTTACGATTGCGTGATCTGCAAAAGTCATGATAAAGTGCGGCTTAGTATTTTGTTAACATGAATTCTGATTGGATCAACTTCTACTAGGCTATAAGTTATATGCTATTTCGGCCTCATGGGCTATTGACTGATAGCTCATTCGGGCTAAATAGTATCTAGCTTACCTTTTTGGACACGCAGTCCACGTCTTCTTGCCTCGATGTCTTTAGCATTTACCGTCAATCTAAAGGAATATAAAATATTTAGCTAAATGGTGTCGTGGAGAACCTGTGGAGAACCAAGGCAAGGCAAGGCAAGGCAAGGCTTTCCACTCAATGAAATGTTTGAAACATACTGCGCATTTTTCTTGTTAGAGAGTAAATAAACTAAAACTGATTTCTCATGTGCCTACCTGAATTCTTTTTGTAGCTCGTAGTCAAATGGTCGTCTCGTGGATATGGCCCCCGTATGCTTCGAGATACGGAAGAACGGCGCTCCATCTTTATTTTCAATAGAGTACACAATCCTTCCCTTCCGGTTCTCTTTTTGCCGACCAGGACGGCTTGCACTCAATCCTGATACTGCACGCACATTGAGAATACTAGAACCTACTGGAATGTTCTCCATAATAGCAATAGTATACAGCGGAACGTCGAACTTCACCTTGTATCTTTCCATTGACGTAACAAGCACCACAAGCTTAGCAGACTGTACCGATTTCAAAGGAGGATTTCCACTATCACGCACACTGATCCTAAGTGTGAAATTCTTTACTCCAATGCTATGCAAAGACTTCGTTGTTCTGACGTCACCACTGTCGTCAATTCGGAATAGRTTATTGTTTCCGCTTGTGATAGAGTACTTCAGCTGTGAAAATGATCCTGTGTCGCTATCTGTCGCTGATATCCTAATCAACGATGTCCCAACTTTTATGGCTTCTGAAACTGACACCTGATAATTCAAACGTTGGAAAAACGGTCTGAATTCATTTAAAGCAACAACTTGAACATTGACTGATACCACAGCCCGATGTTCTCCATTAATGGCGGCAACAATCAGTGTGAACGTCCGCGTTCGATCAAGTTGGATTCGTTGCTTTACTATGATCGTTCCTGTCTCAGGAAGAATTTGAAAAAGTTGGGTGTAGGTGATGAGATAGTACCGGATTTGCGCATTTTCGCCGGTATCCGGATCGACAGCATACACTCTTAATACCTCTGTACCAATAGATACGTTACTGTTTATCGTCGTACTGTACTGAGATTTGAGAAATTTTGGGCCGTTGTCATTAATGTCAAGAACTTCGACCCTTAAGGTTGTAGTACTTATTTTTTGTTCATCGACATTGGTGGCTTGGATTATTAAATAGTAATATGATACGTTTTCACGATCGAGGACGACGTTTGCAACTAGTGAAGCGCCTCCTCTTTCAGGACGTTGGATGAGCTTAAACGCATTTGCAATATTTCCTAGAAAAGCAAATTAAAAAACTATAATTAGTGATATCGTACATTTTTAACTCCCCTCTTCTAACGCCATGCATTTGTTAACCCTTTTATTACAGAGCTCCAAAATTTCAATCCAGAACCATCGTTACGTAATATAGAAATGCCTTTCTGTTATTGGATTTCCCCAGTGATCTATATTAGGTCCATCCTCATTATTTAATTAACGAGAAGTTGTACAGCAATTAGTTTCATTTTTTTAAACATTAAACACTTAATAGTAAAATTGATTTTCTGTTGTTGGAAGGATTTCTTCAGAGATCTATATTGGGACCATTCTAATAATTATCAAGAAAATGCATACCTCTTGTTATATTGAAAAAAACTGTTGCGTTATCACTCCGTCTGCTCTTCGCATATGCAAAAATATCAATAAGTTTTTTGCCGACTTTGTTATTTTCATCAATGTATAATGTTCTTTCTAGAGGCTGAAACGCTGGGGCTGCATCTAGAAATAAAATAGTTTGTAATATATGTATAGTATAGGTATTAAATAACAGGGATATATATATATATGACAATTAGCACTTATATTGATATTATATTATTAATCATAAATAATTTTTCTGAATTTTTCTTCCTTGCTTCCTTGCTTCCTTGCTTCCTTGCTT